GGGCCAGCATTACTTTTTCTTTGACCAGTGTATCTGTACGCAAATACCTAGAGGTTACTGTTTGGCTAGAAACCCCTCATTTTAAAAATAAATCCTCATAAGTCATTAAATGAAGCAGTCGTATAAATATTTCATTTAAAAAGCAGCTCTCACGTGCACAGAGCTGCATACATCAGCAACAAGAGGGCGTAGGAAGCATCAGTGGCCTATTTTCCCACCAAGGAAAGAGTCCTTGACTCGACTTTTGCAGTTTGTAAACGCTTGCAAAATTTATCTTAATAATTATTTTCAAAAAGCATTTCTTTTCATGTAAAACTTCACATATGAAAGTTTTCAAACGCTTCCAAGGTGAAACTGGGGTGTGAGCTGTTAGAGATTAGTTTGCATTATGTAGCAACTTTTTTTTCTCTTCTAAATGCAATTTGACTGTTGGACAGACCTGAAATGATAAAATCTGTTTTTCTACTTATCCACAAGGGGGCGCTGTTTGCGGGATGATGTTTTAATGTGAAAAATGTGCATCCAAACTCACACACAGAAGTAGAAATGAAGCATTTTTCTTAATGTGGGGACTATTAAAATTTGGGTTGTGCAGACATCAAATAAGTACATTTATATACAAAAAATTTTAAATTATTATTGGTATGTAAGTGAAAAAATAATAGGCTTTTTCAATAAATATGAGCACCAAATTTAAAAGTGTATTTGTAAATTTATATTTGAATGTTTCTGAATGTTTTTAATATGGATTTTTCTGAGTTTTGGCCTTCATTCAGTAAGACGAGTTCTTTAAAGCAACCAAACATTGTGCTCTAAAACTTTAGTTTAAAATTAAAACTACAACTGCTCTGTGTTTTACAGTCAAATTGAGGAATAACTTTGGAGGAGGATTCGAGAACATTCACGAGCACCTGCATATAAAACAAAAACAGGTAACTCCTACATTATAAAATACTTAAAAACAAAAATAGTTTTTATTTTTATTTTAAGGTGAGGGGCTGGTTTAGTTTGGACCCTAAAAGTGTGTCCACCGGCTGGAGACGTGGCAGCGCCTCGGGTCATATGATTTTGGCTCATGTACGAACCCCACCCCGTTATTTCCCACCCTTAAAAGCAGATTTTTTGAAAAAAACGCCTCGTTGTTTTTCAAACCTGCAACCTGATAGTTATCAACAGCCTAAACACCAAACGTTTCGCAAACATATTATCCCTTATAACTCGGCACACACTCTAAACGTGGGTTTTTAGTGGCGGTGACCACCCAAAACAGAGCCATTTTTAGACATTTACTGCTGACGTTTACAGAGGCTTCAAATAGCTTCCGTTTTACTCTGGTAGTGATTGGGCTGTCCCGTGCTAGAGGGAGCTAACGCATTGGCTCACCAAGTCAGACATTCTTCATTTCAATGGAGGAACAGCCCAAAGATCGGGCACAAGACAGGCAATATCACCACCACGGGGAGGACAGGAACACCGCTCAACACGCAACTTATCTGAAACATGATCAGAGCCACTTCCAGTGCCAGCATAAGGAAACGCAGACGAAGAAAACAGGTTGGGCCATCCGGAAAAAAGTTAGCTAGCGCCTGCTAGCTTTGGTCAGCTAATGTCAACGAGCCGAGTAGCTGTTGCTAACTAACGTGAAGTACACCGTAACTGAGTGCGTAGCCCGCTAGCTACTCGTTAGCTGTTGCTCTGAGTAGTTAGAAACACCCCACAGCATTGAGCAGACCGATATTCAGCCGCTCTTAAACAACTAAATAAACTTTACGTTAGCCTGCCGGTTAGCTGACGTTGCGTGACAGTTGAGATGGTGTTAGTGGTTTGACATATCGGGGATTGACCTTGTGCGCCGGTTTCACCACCCTGTTTTCTTGCGCTTAATCGTTAAAATAACTCTTCTCCGGGCCGTTAATTGTTATTAACACACTGTGAGGTGTAATTCCGCTACTGGTCTTCCTCAGCAGGCAAAGCTAAATGTGTTTCATGTCGGCATGCCTGTGTCCAGTTAAGGAAACCGAGCCGGCTCCGCTGGAATGTTCTGTCCTGCCGTTTCCTGTCGGCCATGTTAAGACTACGACTGCGAGCTAACGCTACACTCTTTCCCGGCTAGTTTGAAAATTGTGTAAAACTCGGGACAATTCACTGTCTTGGCGTGTCTTTCTCGTTTTATCGCGACCTCGAGTTGCTGTTGTTTGGTGGAAATGTCAAAAACGGCAAGCGGTGCCGTGACGTGTTGATGGCCAACGGTTAGTTGGCGTTAGCTAGCGTTAGCTAACATCTGACAGGCCCTCTGCATGCTGGCTGCAGAACGGGAAGCAAACCCTTGATTTTTCCTCCCTTGAACGGACTAGGCTCTCTGAGCATTGGCCGCACGTTGTTTGACAACAGCTTCAGCCCTCATGTTTAGCTAAAAAAGCAACAGACGGCCTCCTTTTCCCAGAGAGGCCGGGAGGCATGCAGAACTCGTGTGTTGTGCCCACAAACATCAGGGTGGAGAGGCACCGTCAAGTCGGAAGTCCCGACGTTGACACAGCAATTCCCAGGGACCTGAGCATTTTTGCAGCCACCGTCACGGTTAATGGCAGACTTATTTTTGTTTTCCAAAAGAGGCTAAGGGATCTGCACGTTGCAACAATTGGTCCCTAACTTTAAAACGGTACTTCTGTACAGGCTACAGCTGTCATATACATCACACATGACCTGTGATATCAGCATTTATTTAATGGCATTTGTTTGACATAACACTTTAAAATGAACTACCAAGTATGTGTAACTGCTAGTTGATTATAGTTTTACTATAGGAAACTTTTTCTGGATTTCTGTTGCCTTTGTGTAAAATGTCTGCTCACTGCTCAGTGAAAGGTGGCTGTTGGGATCTGCCATCTCAGCACAAACTGATTGTTGTTTCTCCTTTCAGGCAATAAAAAAGTAATCAGTAACGAGGAGGGAGACAAGAATCCACACCTGTCTGAGGCCGCGGGCGTGTTGCTTCCCTCCAGCAGCAATGGTAACAGACACCTGAGTAACGCACATGTGAAGCCGCGGGGGGCGCAGAAGCTCTACACGCCTGTTCCCAAAGCGAGCAGCAAAGGACCGGACAACAAGAAGAACATGGACCTTAAAAATGACAAGGAAAAGGCCCTGGATTCGAGTCATCACGAGCTCCCGCCATCGGATAAGAAGGACTGCGCGCCGCTTCAGAATGGCGTTGTAAACTGTGGCCTGATTACAAACGGTTATTCTAGCAAAGACAATGACGGCAGCGGCTCTGAAGGCGGATATACTACCCCGAAGAAACGGAAGACCCGATGTAATAACGCCAAGAACACGGATATTGTGACTAAGGAAAAGGAGAAAGACTTGACGCCGGGCAACACTACGCAAGAACTGGGGGGGTCGAGTCTTGAAACGGCCGAGAAAGGAATGACCTCCAGAGCCGAGGGCCACAGATCCTCCCATAAGCCAGAAGCTCAACCGGCTGAATCCCAGAGGAAAAACTCTGACGGCAAAACGGCCGGCACCTTCGGTAAAAAATCCGAGGAGAGGCACAAAGGCAAGCTTTCCTCGCCGTCGAAAGAGGACTCGTGGACTTTGTTCAAGCCCCCTCCAGTATTTCCCGTGGACAATAGCAGTGCTAAAATCGTTCCCAAGATCAGTTATGCAAGTAAAGTTAAAGAGAACCTCAATAAAGTAGCTCAAGGCGGAGCGGAGGCCGCACCCCCCCCGGTGAGACTGTCCCAGGTTCCCATGTCTGCTATGAAAACTATCACCTCAGCTAGCTTTACTAACGGTCCTGTTTCTGGAAATGGAAACGGCTGCCCATCCGTGGGCACCTTCTTCGCTCCTGCTGCTAGTAGTATTCAATCAGCCCCGTCTGGCCCAAGTGGCGAGAATGTAGCATCTTCTTTGGAAAGTAACTGTAGCTCCACGACGAGTCCCGTAGACGGAGAGGCCTACGAGCTTAGGAAGTGTACTCTTTTAATCTACCCTTTAAATATGCAACCCGTGCTCCCTAGCGCGCGTCACCTAGACCCACCGGCGGCTCAGACAAATCAGAAAGCCCTGGGAGACATCTTCCAGAATCAGTGGGGGCTCTCCTTCATCAACGAGCCCAACCTGGGCGTGGAGGGGGGGGGCCGGACAGGCGGAGGACCGGGCCCCCCCGCCCGCCCAGCCCTGCTCTGACGTGAGCCCCACATTCTTAGAACCCGGCACTTTGTCTCAAGACCCAGAAAAAAGGACTTGTGCCCCTTGCCAAGTGTCCAATGCGTGTTCTCCTGCTTGTGTGACCAGTGAGGAGGGGTCCAAGTCGCACCCGTGCGGCCAGGAAAAGACTAAAGTTGAACCCAAGGCCGGAGGCTCCTCCCTGGTGGCCCCCGGTAGGGACGGCGGTGCTAAGCCTGCACAGGCCCAGCTCACCACGCTGTTTTTTGGCGCCTCTAAAGAACCGGCCCTCTCTAAAGACATTGGCAGGAGGTGTAGCTGGGGCCCCTCGGACATTAAAGCTGCTGTCACCTATCACACTAAAGGTAACTTTACTTTTCCTCCGCCTCTTCCAGCTATTAAGTAGTTTTCGTCTCATTTACATTCGGTTGTTTCCCAAAGTGCGTTTTAATTCTCTGGAATACCGCAAATAACACATGAGTTTACTTTCCATCTCATGCCATTAGTCCCTCACAAATTTAAACATGATCTGAGACTCTAGAAGTTAGATGTGCTGCTTATAACCTGCTCAACAAATCCATTTTCTATTTTAGGTTTTTAACCTGTTGTGTGTTAAGAGGAGTGAACCAAGTTGAGATGTTTGTGTTAAAGTAAAAGTGTAGTTAAATATCGATGAATTTAAGGACTATTTGGGCAAATATCCCTTAAAAATGAAGTTTTCAAAGATACACTAACATGTTTTTTTATTGTCCTCGACAGAAATGGAATACATTTTCAGCTTGCAAAAACAAGGTAAATGAACTTTTCTGAACCCAGTTTTTAGCCTTTTTATTTCTTTCATTTGGTTGTTTAAAAGGCACCAAAAAACCAGAGCAGAAGCACGGCTTTATCGAATGTTCTAACTCAGCCTCTTCTCTTCTTCCCCTTTTTTCTTTTGCTCTAGATCCCAAAAGAGTAGTGATTTATGACGAGACCAAGGACGGACCTGATCAGTGAGGTAGATGGCCCACAGTGCTTACCTTCTTTTCTCTGGGTGCTGCAGTTATCTACCTTGGAAAAAAAAACTAATCTCGTTGGATAGATAAAGTGACAACTGTGAAAACACTGAATAGTTAAGCTTGTTTTTTTTTCCTTTTTTTTTTTTTTTTTCTTTCTTTCTTTCTTTCCGTGGAGTCTCGGGTGTAATAACAGACTTTTCATCGGGGCATCAGACAAACAAACACACACACTCTCACACACACTGTGGATGGACATAAAGGAGCTGATCGGTGCCTCTCCAACGTGACGAATGGACTCCCGTAGTCGTTTTGTCTCATGGCTCTGAAGGGAGGACGTTCAACACAAAGCCTTGGTCCTGTTGAACTGCGTCCGCCGTCAGTCTGGGACGCCTCAGTCGTTTTTCTTCCATCACGCGTTCAGACGAGTTCATTGTAGATACGTTAGACGTCATAAACACACACACGCGTGTGTGTGTGCGTGCTCAAAGTCATCGCCCATAAAAGAAGACGCTCTAAGAATGCCTTTTTTTTCCTTTTTTTTTTTAAAGTTGTGGTAAAAAAAGGTGTTTGGAATCATGTTCTAATTGTAGTAACAGTTCAGAAGTGAGCCCCCCCCACCCCCAACACCAATCCAGAAAGGAAGAATCTTGTCTTAAATCCGTTAGGGAAGCCCAAAGCCCAAAAACAAAGTGGGATGCTGGTTCAGCTGAGCTAAAGGAGTTCTTCCTGGTTGCCGTAGGACCCCAGAGCACAGGTACTGAAGTGCCCGGGCTGAAGGAAAGCCCCCCCCCCCCCCCATTCCTCCCCCCACATGCTGAAGCTTTTCAAATCGGGTTCAAATCGCAACGTATATATATATTTTTTATCTTGAAGCGTTTCATACATTTCATGCATAAGGTCATCATGTTTTCAGAGACTGTTCTTAAATTCAGGTTCACAGACCTTCTGATATCTAAGGGGTCAGAGTTCAGAGTGGTAACAAAACTGTTAAAACAGACAGAACTTCCAGTAAGAGATCGACCTCTTTTACGCGTTATTTAGCCCGCTCACTTCCTCTCATATGACAGTCTGCAACTTTTGATTTCATGTTTTTTTTTTTTGTTTTTAAATCAGCATTTCTGTCTTTATTTTTCTGCCTTACGGCATCGTGTTTTTGCATGTTTACCGGTGGACATGGATGGGTCAAAGGTCACTCTTCATCGCCACACACACACACACACACACAACTGCAATACTAATCTGTGTATCCCCCGTTAGTTCCCAGATAGCCACTCTGTCAGACTTTATTGAAATGTGAAGATGAGTTGTACTATGATGTTTTACTGTGGATGATATTTTTACGTTTGCAAAACCAGTGTGCAATAACGCCGTGTCAAAACGGGCCGAGCTACAAAACCGTGGCCCAGGACGCTGGTGTAGCCTGCAGTTCAGCGTGTTCAAAATGTTTAAGGTGCATCCTCCTTTTGTTGCACAAATTCTTAACTGATTTTTTTTTTTTTCTTCGCGTGTGTAAAAGAGCTCATGTTGAAAGATTTAATTAAGTCGAGGGATTCAAGGGAGCCCAAATTTGCTAACTGCTAGCTGGTCGGCTGTGACATCACTTCAATCGCCATCTCCAAATCAGGATTGGTTTATTCAACAAGGAACAAGGTCCCGTTCGGGTTTCTTTTTCTCTAGAAGATATGATTTGGTTCATGTGTGGATTAATAGCACTTTATGTAAACAAATGACCTTTATCCTAAATACTAGAGAAATCTATATGTACTGACCAGAAATACTCCTTGAAAGAATGGCTCTGGGCTGTTACTTTTCAAAAAAAAAAAGAGAAAAAAAAAAGTTGCTAAATACAGAATTATTACATGTAACTCAGGTAGTGTTGATAAAGCCATGACTATGTTCGATATTGTTTTTGCCAAATGGCCCGTCATGTAACGTTCTCACCGTGGAAACGCTGAATTGGAGTAATACTACCGCTTCTTGTTGTTATGACAACGCACCAAGTCAGTCTCTTTTTGAGGAAAACTGCCTGTCATCGTTTTGGGCTTCATACAGTTTTCCCTGGTTTTACCCCCCCCACTCCCCCCTCCAATAGAGAAACCCTCTTTTCCGTGTGTTCCTGACTGTAGTCTTTGCTCCTCCGCTGGTCCTTTTTTTTACTCCTTTTTCGTGTTGATTTAGTGAAGCTTGGCATCAGGAGAACTGTAATCTGGGCTCTAAACTACACTGTGTTTTAAATGGGCTGCAAAGCTCTTTTTCTTCTCCTTTTTTTTCTGGTTTATTTTCGTCCTGTACAAGTTGTCTTGACCTTTATCCCCCCCCCCCCCCCGGCTGTTGAGTTGCCTTCTGGTTGGTCCTGTGCGCCCTGCAGCACGTCGGTGTGATCGAATGTAGTCCAGGACAGGAGAAGTCTTTAGTCCAGCAGCACGTATACGCGTCTACATGTTCAGTGTTTTGTTTTTTTGTTGTTTTCTTTATTTCCGAGGGGGGGTCCTGGAACTCCTCCCGCCCTAAAGCCCCTCTTCCTGAAGCACTTAACCCGCCCGGGCTCTGCTGGATATGCATTACGGAGACAGAACAGGTATTTAGGCGGCCTGCAAACCAAAAACAGGCTCTTGAGGCGACGTGGAGGGGATAATCAGCCACCGGGGAACAGAGAAAGAGTCTGTGTCTCCTCAGGATGTGCAATCACTCGGGGGGCGCTGATGCAGGCTGACCAGGCCGAGCGGTGGCCGGGTGCGTGCGCATGGCGAGCTCCTCTTATATGCAACTTCCTCCTACGGTTTGAAACCCCGCCCCACTTTGTTTTGTTTATTTTTTTGGTTTTGTTTCACGTTCAGGTGCCTGTGTGAGGGGAGGACAGAGAACCTTTACAGCTATTTTGATTGTTTAAAAATCTGCTTCCAGCATATATCTGTGCCATGCGTTTTGTTTTTTCAATTTTTTTAGTTTTTTTTTCCCACTTGTTAAATTTGCAATGCTGTTTTTAAATTGTTCTCACAGCTAATCCAGATTTTTCTTTCTTTAACCAACATGGACGCAGCTGAAAGCAATGAGAATCTGTTTTCTTAATGAGGTTCGGAGGGTTTTTTTTGGCTTCTGTTTAAAGCTGTGCGACTTAAAGCCAAAAAAAAAAAATCTCTTCAAACGGGACGGACAGCCGCTTGCTGGTGTATATTTGTACCAGTCCATCGTCAAGTGTATGTCTGAACATAATTAATTTCAAACTCATTTAACAGGCTGATATTTTAACATGTTTTAAAAATGTCTTTTTTTTTGTGTTATAACCTAATTTATCCATAGCTGCACAAGTAGGATGAGACTAACGAATAAATGCTAAAGAAAATTAAGATGTCTCATTTTTTAACTTTAGATATTTTAGTTGTTGATTGATTGAGGCTGATGTAGACCCCCTCCCCAACAAAACAAAACAAAAAAAAGACTAGAACCAACGTTAATATATTTGAACTTCCTTTTCCCATCAGATTTTAAGCATCTTATTTTAATGTGTGTCTTCAGATAGTTGTGGGACTGAGCATCCAAATGCATTACATCTAGAGTTCTCCTTAATATATCTTTATTTGTGGTGTTGTCGATCATATTATGGGGGGGGCTGAGGTATTAATGTACAGTTTTCCACCTCCTGGATCTGCTTTGGCCAAAGGTACACTACTCAGATAATCAGCTACTGAAGGGCACACGTCCTAACCAGCTTCCTGACATCCTGCCAAGTTTAGGAGGTTTCCTTTCCATCTTTTTAAAGCGAGGGAAAGTCGCTTCTGTAGCAGCTGAATGTCACTTTGAGCGCGTGGTCACGCCGTGTGGGAGCTGAGATTTTAAAAAAGGTAAAACAAATACCGAAAGTGCTGCTTCTTCATCCAGTTCTGGGTCATCTGTGAAGGGGAAATGCTGGACTCGGTGTTTGTGCTCCACCTAAAAAGTGTCACTCCTTCACACCATCACCGTTTTTCATAGAAACTTTTTATTTCATTTCTTGTGGGAGGGGGTGGGGTGGGGGGCTTGGGTTGGGCAGTTTGAGAGCAAATGCGTCGTGGCGAATCGTCTTTTTTCTTCGTTTGTGCGTCATCTCAGATGCCTTTTTGCTTTTGGATGATGGCTCTTCTGTTCTGTTTGCCCCCCCCTGCCCCCACTCCCCATTTCTCATGCCCCTAAAATATGAGGCAATAGCATTTTGTTTTTCAAATGTCTTAAAGGTTGGCATCCAAGTGAGCAGTCTGATTTGATTTAATTTCTGTTGAATTTAACAAGTGTCACATTACAATGTTTTTTTTTTTTTTTTTTAAAGCATGATAATAACCCTCAAATTTCAAACAATGTAATAGTCAATAAAAATAAAAAACGCAGTGTTCACTGTTTTAGTTTCCATTAAAATGTCAAATTTTCATTAAGAATGTTGTTTTGTTTTTTATTCAAACTCTCACTTTACAACTTTTTAAAAATGTATTTATATTTCTTTTTTGAAAAAGGTTATCCTCCAGATCGCAGTGATGATCACATGTACTTTTAACCACCTGATAAAATGACAACCCTCACCTAAAGAGCTTTCTTTTTACATAAAAACTTACTAAATTCAAGTTTCTGGATGCAGAAACGAGCCAAAGGGGAAGTATCCTGTGATCTAATGTGTAGCAGAGAATCAATTTAAACGAATAACTAATCAGGTTAGCTACACGAACACTTGGAGAGCGCAAAATGGAGAAAACTTGAGTGGGAAAAATGGGAGTCCTCACATTTTCAGCAGAAGTAGGGCTGCACAGACAAACGGACCCCAGCACCAGACTGAGGAACGGCCCACAGAACCAGTTCAGCCTGCTCTCCCAGTGGTTCAGGACCAGTCGCTGCTGTTGGTAAAGTTTTAATTCACATTTTCTGCTAATATTAAACTGACTTGATCGCCCAGATTTCCGTTTTTGTCCTGACTTCTTTTTGAAGGAACTGATGGAGGAGGAGCTGAAACACTGGAGCAGCCGGTTGTGACTG